CCATGGTTTCAGTGTCACACGGATAATATCTCGTTCATGGTTTCATTTAAGACCAAGAAAATTTTCCTGATTTGTTTGGCTTAGGTCGCATTCAGCTATTCTTTCATTAAATTCTTCGTCATTTGAATGAAATCCTCTTATGTTCATCGATGCTTCAGCAAAAATTTCTTTCGTTCTTTCATATTTATATAAGGCCTCTTCTGTTCCATTTGCTGATATAATAACGTTGTCTACATATAAGTTTTTCTTAGTCTCCCATGCCAATTCACTACCATGATTTTCTAGGTGGTAATTTAATGTTGCTGCTAACAAGAAGGGTGAGGATATTATTCCAAAAGGAACTCTCTTAAATCGGTAACATTTTATATTTTCATTGGTTAGTTCTTTATCAATATCATCCAACCAAAGAAAACGTGTACAATTTCATTTTGTAGTTCTAGTTGTAAAAATGCCTTTTCGATATCAGCGGTTATTACTATTTTCATCATCCGAAAACGTAATATTACTCCAACTAAATCCGGTAACATTACTCGATATAGTACTTCATTTAAGCTTTTAAAACATTTGTGATGTGCTGAGGCATCATATACTATTCTTAATTTAGTTGTTGATTTACTGGGAGTTAATACTTCATGATGTGGTAAATAATGAATAACGCCTATCTCATCCTTTGGAGGTACTTCTTCAATTATACCTGAATGTAGTTGATCCATAAGTATTTGATGATATGAATGGACATTTGAATTATGTTGTAGGCGGTTGATCAAATTCTTCAATCGTCCCAGACATAATCCATAATTATTGCTTAATTTTTGTTTGGAATCTTTCCATGGCCAACAAACCTGATATCTTCCACCCCTGCTTGATGATGGTCCGTTTAAAATGCTTTAAAGCTTGATCATCAACATCATCTTGAGGTGATTCTTGGATACCAATCGTCTCTAATTTCCAAAATTTTTCTAGCTCCGTGCTAATATTGACGTTTGTAGAATATACTACTTCTTCAGGATATAATTCGTTCTTGCAAAGTTTCTTAATTTCTCCACTTCCAGCAATCATTGGACCAACTTTTGATTGAACCAACATATGCTTGATCTTAATTACTTGATTTCTCGTAGACTAATAAATATGAAAAAATAATCAGCTCCAATCAATACGTCAGGTTTTTTCCAATAATTTGTTAAATGTTGAATTTGAATTTCTGTTTCGGTTAACCTCAATTGACGTGATAATTTTTTGGAAATGAAGGAGAGTTGTGATCCGCTGTCAAATAATGCCAAAGCATTTTGTTGCAGTTGAGGTTGTAATGGATTAAAAATCCTTATTTCCTTACATAAAAATAAAGTTTCTTTTGTCTGTTTGGATCGAGTTGTAGAGAGAAGTTGAACAATCCTTTCGTTTCGAAGGTCCAATTCTTTTTTGTTCTCCATTTCTTTGATACATTGTGTTATTCAAAGAAATTAAGTTCTTTTTATCACATAAAGCACTATTATGTGAGCTTTTGCAATAAAAACATTGTTTTTTGACATTACAATTCTGTCCTTTGTGACTGCCTCTAAGACAAATAGTAAATTTTTTCAACACTTTGAGACGACTAAGCCGAGCATTGAGAGTTGTGTAGTTCACGCAATCGCTGTCCCAATGATCTTGATTGCAGAATACACATGGTCGTCTTTTCGTTGTTGTAGTTTTCGAAGTATTTTGATTATCTTTTATTGTCGACAATGCTGAAGTTCCTCCGGGATTGTATCGTTGTTTTTGTTCCGGTTTGGTAGTTGTAGATTTAATATTGAGTTGAGTGAGTGAATGTTGACAGTTTCTAATCTGTTCATTCACATTAACTAAACTTGTTAAAAAGTTTCTTAGTTTGAGAATTGACCAAGGCATGTCCTTCTTCTTATGTTTATATATTTTATTTAATATCCATAATGGCAACTTGCTCTCGATCAAGATTTCAATATTTGAATGCTCAAGGCTTTCTCCTAGAGCTTCTAACTGGCGCAGTACTCGTTCTATATTTTCAATTGTTCCAATCCATTCTCTTTCATTTCGTTTAATTGATTGGAGTTCGTTGTATACTAATGTTGTTACATGTTGTTACTATTGAGTGATCGCCATATTTTTCATTGAGCAGTTTTCTGATGACTTCATAATTCTCTGGAGCTATATCATATCCAGATATTGCTTGTAGAGCCTTTCCTTTAAGACATGAGTACAAGTAATTCAATTTTTGTATTTCTGGAATCGCTTGTGTGTGGACTGCTGCGTTAAAACTGCTCCAAAATTGTCGCCATTGTCTAAGGTCTCCATCGAAAGTAGGGAGCGATAAATGAGGAAGATTTACATTAATATTTAAAGAAGGAGTAAATTTTGCTTCTTCTTTTGTTTGTTTGTTCGTCAACTCCTTTGAGAGTTGTTTTAAGTTTTGGTCGACTTCATCCTTGTGCATTGTCAGTGTTATTACCGCTTCCTTTCCTTCGTGTAATAATTGAAATATTCCTTGGTCGCCTTCTGTTACTACTTTGTATTTTTCTTCCTCTTCTTCTCTTTTTTTCATTGTGACGATTTGTTGAGTATATGTGAACCATTTATCGTTGATAGATTCAAGCGTAGTTACGCATAATTGGATTCTTCGAAGTTTATCTTCTAACACTCTTTTTCTTATCACATAAAAATCTTCTTTTTCTTCTATTGTCATACTTGGACCTGGAAATTTGATCTCCAGTTGGTTTACTTCTTTAAGAAGACTGACTAACCTTTCCTTTGCCGGTTGAAAGCTCGCGATAATGTGGCTTGACATTTTCCCGTCTCGTGGCACCAAAAATTTCTTTTGTCGTGAAAGGTTGTCCGTTGGTTGATATTCGAATTGTTGCAATACAGTAGGAAGATTAATAAACCTTTATTTTTCGAAAATGTAGTATTAATAAACAGAGCAGTAAAATAAAAGAGAAGAAATTTATATTAAAGAAGAAAAACGGAGGAATTGAAATTGGTTAACAGAGTAGCAGTCGACATAATGACAATGAATCGTTTTGTTTATTAGAACTGAATTTATATGAGTGAGGATTGAGCGTGTCTAAGATAAAAATCATATGTGTGAAGAATTGGAGATGTTTACAAATAAGAGATTAGAATCATATGTGTGAAGAATTTGAAGTGTTTACAAAGAAAAGATAAAAATGAAAGCTAATTTCAGTTTTACATAAAATTACATAAGTAATAAATCTTAAGAAGCCAAATTTATGAAGAAATGATTTTTGAAAGCGTAAGATTGTTTACAATTTAAAAAGGAGAGATGATTTATGATATACGAAATTGGTTAGAAGTTTTCGCGAGATTATCATTTGCGACAGTTATTGGTTATTTTGAAGGAACACAATATTTTAATACCACACGTTGTTATGATAGTGAAAAAAAAACAATGATCTAATTAGCTCCAATAAATTATATAAGGTAAACTTTTTAGTATATAATTCTTATAATATGAAAGATATTTGTAAAAATTCAAATAAATTTCTTTGTTGTGTTTTTTTTTTTAATTTTCTATTTAGGTAAAAATTTAATTTCAAACAATAATTGATAACATTTACCGAATGCAATTTGCATTTGCCATATTGTTTTACTCATATTAATAGAATCCACGTGAAACATAACGCCACTGCTTCTGTTATAACAATTGGCTTATATCATAGTATATCAGTTAAGAAAAACGATGGAACCTTTAAATAAATTTTTCCTTTATTATTACTTTTTTTTTGATTGTTTATGAAAATAATATTAATAATAATTTTGTTGTAACTAAATCGCATAGGTTATACTTTTACAGTATATTTGTTTGTTATTTGAGGTGAAGCAAATAATTACTTACCAATGCAACTAGATAACAATAAGTCCAAAATGGATAAATTTCACTGTGAACATTAGTGAAATTTTTAGGTGCACTGATAAGACAAAGAGTGAGAAATAGTTTTGCTGGACGGAGCTCTTTGATTGCAGAAACAAGTACAATAATTAATTTCCAATGCATTATGGTAATAAATTGTAAAAAATATCTTAAAAAAATATTGTGTTATACGTATTAAATCTTATTGTAAATCATTTTCTTCTTCTATAAATTTTTTATCACATAGATAAGTTTATATATTAATTGGTATCTGTTTAATTAAATGCAAAAAATTTTCTTCTTAGTATTATACGAAATATGTTGAAATAAATTCACCACAATTATTAAACAATTTGATGAGTCTTTTTCGAAAAAGCTTGGTCCAATATAAAACTTCTGATTGAATTATTTAAACAAATAAAAAATGCTTGATATATAATGCGAAATATGTGAATCAAAATGAAAGAGTTGCACTAAAATGAATGAAAAGGAGCAAAATATTATCAAACAATCAGGTTTGCAAATAGATATAATTTGAATTAGTTTCCATAATTTTTTCCTAAAATATAAATGTTGCAGATAGAAGTAATTATTCAATTTGTTTGCGAAAAAGTAAAAAAAGAAGAAAAATTAGCATTAAATTGCTATTTTTCATTTCCTTTATTTCATTAAAAAGCTTTTTGAAAGTACACCAAAGTCATAACATTTCTTATTTGAATTCTCCATAGATTTTCAGTTTTTATGCTAAAAATAATATTACATCATAAGTTTCAGTATAAATTTTTTCTGACAAGAAAAATTTAAAAGAAACGAATTTTTTTGTCAGTAGTGATAATGATAATTATTCATTCTTTTTATTATTGCTGTATGCTCAAATTCTGCTCAATGTTTTCGCTTTCTAAATTTGTTAAACAATATGTAAACAAATAACTTTCGACTTTGTCAACTGTTTCTTTCTTGATTTTATTTTTTTTTTAAATAAAGGATTACTTTAAATTCTAAATTCTTTATTATTGAGTTAAGTTTAATATACTTACTCGAAGATCATTAGCTGCTATTAGAACATTCTCCAATTCAGTTTCTAAAAATTTGTCCACTTTGAATGAAAGCTACCACGTTATAGAAACCGCGTTCGTAATATTTGGCATACCATTTTTTGAACTGTGATTTCTTTACCGGATGGAAGTGTTTCTTGAATTGCCTAAATATAATCTTTCTAGGATATCTACTCATATTACTTTTATAGTTATTTAAAATTTTAATTAGTTTATACTTTTATAGTTATACTTTCATTATATTAGTAATATTTGTGATAAGTATAAATGTATAAAATTTCTATATTAGTGGCATAATTTATTCAGGTGCAACAGGTATACGTCAAAATATAATTAGCTAATTACTTTTTCATTTAAATTGTTTCATATTTCTATTCTAATTTCATCAGTTCATTTCTATTCTAAATACTGTTTGATAATATGCAATACATAAAGTCTATTTTGATATTTTAGGATGAATTTAATGACATGATAAAAAATAGTTTTCGTATATCAAAATGTTTGTGAAAATTTCTGCGAAACTTTTATGAAATGTTTTGAAAGAAAAATATTTATGGAATATTTTTTTTAAAAAAAAAGAAACGATCGAATATTTAAACAATTACAAATTTCGTACTACAATTTTTAATTAATTCAATTAAAATTTACTTGTGATGAAATAAGTTTTCGAAAAATATCAGAGAATGCAGTAAGTAAACATGCAGATGCATTGCATGAAAATCCATTTTCAAGCACAATTTTTATTCGATTTATGAAACCAATATTTGCTGACCACTTTAAATATACTTCAGCTTCTAATCTATCAATACGCAATTCACCCTTAAATGAAAACGAAAAAAAAAAAAATTTTTAAATATAGACAAGAAAAACTTTGAAATTATTTAATTTCAGAGAAATTATTAAAATATCTTTTAACAAAATTTATTGTTTTACGTTTCAACTTTTTTTCATCAATTTCTTTTTTTTATCATAGTAATACATTGAAATTTTTCTATAATTAATTCAATACAGATATAAAAAAAATGCTTGCAAATAATAAAATAGAACTATCTTATGAAAAAAAAAATTAACATATTTAGGTTTTTGTTAAATAATTTATTAATTATAATGATATTAAACATAAAAAAAGAATGAATATGCAGACAATAATCTTTTGTATTTCAAAAATAAAATTTTTAATTTTTTAATAGCTTTTTTAATATTTCAAATATTGTTATCAATAAATGAATTAATTTTTTTTTAATAGCCATAAATATGATTTTTTTAAAGAAATAATTCGAAAAATTTCTAATCACTGTTCATGTTTTTTGTTTTTTTTTGTTCTTAAATAATTAATTAATTACGAAAGTCAAATTATTTAAAACCTGCAAATAATATTTGCGAATATCTTCTGGTACAACCCATAAAATATCCAACATTAGTCGCTGCTGTAACTCTCAATTACGATTGTATATGTCTGAGTAGTGATCTTCATTAATGACTTATTTTCCATTTTGATGTGAGTTGACGTAATCCTTAAGTTCCTGACTGGATAAATTTTCTTCTTCCGCAGCTATTTTAGTGTTTCTGTATTCACCAATAACAAATCTGCAAAAATATTCAGTATATGTTCTTGTAATTTGAAATCTAAACAACATGCAGTATTTAATTTGTAAAAAGGATTGTAATTATTGGTTCCATATTAAATATTCCGATTTCCATGCTTCTGGAGTGGCCAAGATGTGTTTACCTCTTCTTTTTCTTTGAAGCTGGCTAAAAGCTTCAGAATTTTCTAGATCAATGACCAATGCTATAGCCACCAAATAGTACAATGAAAATAGAAAAAGCCACAGCATTAATAGAAAATAAATTTTAAACGGGGTTTTTTTCTCTATAATTTTAATTGATGTGATCCGCGATAAAATAATCCTTCCCACGAGATGGTTTTTTGCTCTGATATGATAAAATCACTACAGCAAATTTTATTATCTTGTTGCCGATCATTATTATTAATTCCGATATGCCGTCATTTTAGATTTATTGAACATTATTATCGATTAAAAAAGGAAAAACAGAAATATATTATAGAAATTCTATTTGGGTGTTTGAGTTGACAAAAATTTATCGATGTAAATAAGTCATTGCAATTTATAATTCATTGCAGTAATCTGAAAATTTTTTAACCTATAAATTTTTAATTCAAGATTAATGAAATGAAGAGTGAGTTTTCTCAATCCACAAACCGATAAAGAATTCCGATTTTCCTAGATAAGATAAATGAACGAGACTGAACAATTTACATCTAAATTTAATTATTTTTCACTTTGTGTAAAGGCTGCTGCAATGCAGTACAAAAATAGCACAACAGTCTATGAAAGTAGCAATAAATAAATTGACCATATTGACTAAGTTTCTATCTCTACAATGAGCAGTAAAGACGGACGATCTTGATCACTAGTGGAATTTATTGAAGATAGTTGCAAAACCTAAGAATCTGGTATAAATGAACGTGAGTATGAATCTTAGTGTAAATACGAGATCAACTTGCAGCGCTTCGAAGTTATGAAATTGGTTGAAATCGGCACCGGATTTATGTATTTTTGAGCTGCTACAACCTGTCGGCAAAGTGAAAGAAGAAAGAAGCGAAAAAGTGTGGCAAAATGAAGTTGAATAACACGAGCATATTTAAAACCGTTGATAGAGACCTGTAGAAATCGATTGATAGTTTTATAAAAGAGTGAGAGGGAGAATCATGACCTCTAATGTTGGCAGTTATGATCTCAACGTCTACTCTGATCTGGTCAGGTACCACCAAAACAGCTTTGGACAACGATTATCGTCCTTTCCCGAAAAACTATATTCCAGTTTGCGTAGTATATTGATAGAAAGGCATTTATGGACGACATGATTCTTTTCATCCTGAAACAATTCGCATCACAGAAATTTCTGTAATAGATCTAACTGTCGCGATTTAACATCGCGAAGCACTAAATAAGTGTTAACAATGCTTAATATAGCAATCCATTGATGTCTTTTACAATTCATCACAATGGTCTAACTGATTTTTAATCTTATATAATTCATATACTATGAACATCTATCATGTAATTTCTATTACAACTCATAGTAGCCACTTACCATAATGTTTAGAAAACCCACTATATTTTCTTTTGTGATAACCATTGTAAAACCTATTGTTAAAGTTACTTACTATCATGTCTAGACAATTTATCCTTTGTATACTAATCATAAACCACTCCCACACTTTAACTCAAGTAATGTAAGATAATTGCTATATAAGGACCACCCTTGTTAAAAGATTTTGTTATAGGTGTGATTTATTGCCAAGAACCGACGATTCTAATTTCAATTGTTCTCTATCAACGTAATGTCCTATTACTTCTGCTAATACAGAAATTTGTTTATTTTTCTGTTACCACACGTATTTACATTTACGTCCAAACAATCTCCTTGTGTTCAAAAACCTCTTCCAAAATTAATAATTAGACGATCAAATCTTCTACGGCAAAAATTTGCTTCCACGACACTAATTATCATGTCTCTCATCTAAATAAATCCTGAATTAAGATTTTTAAATGTCATATTATCTTTATTTTCTGCAAGTATTACTAATTGTAGTAGACATTTTACAGCCTTTCAAGATCATATAATAACTATTAAACAGTTAGAAATAAGAAACGAAAATTTATTTGGCAGTGACGTGAGAAATCGGACGTGAAAGCCAAATGAAAAAGCAAGCTTTTCAAAAAAAAAAAAAAAAAAAAAGAAAAATTAAGTAACGAGCTGATTCTGAAAAGTTTTTAAGTAGAAAGAATACATTTTATTATTATTCAAAAGAATCATAATAATGCCAAGATTTTCACTTATATTTCAGTTTTTTTCTAAAAAAAAAAAAAAAAAAAAATTAAGACCTTCAAAAAGGAGGAAAAACAATTAGATGTAGAAAGTTTTTATGAAATGCAAAACTTCTTACTTTCAGTTGCCATGGCATAAAAAATAAAATGAATTAATACAAGAAATTTTATAAAATGCTTCTATTTATTGACGAATTTGACTAGAAATGATTTCAAACTGAATAATAGAACCATTAAATGAAACCTACTTAAAACGAGTAATTATTTTTAACTGGATATTTATTAGTTTTATATACTGTAATCATTGCTAGTTCTTTCCTATTGTATAAAAACTTCTTCGCGACGAACGGCTGGTCGCTCGATGAATTAATTCAATAGGTGCCGCTTCCAGCTATCGTTGTTTTTTTTCGCAGTTAAGGAAGAACATTAAAGAGTAGGATAGTTTCTGCATTGGAAAAAAATGCTCAGTAGTAAACTATATTTAAGCAGCAAGAAAACATTGAGAAAAACAGAATTCAAAACCAATTGCAATTGGCAGTCGCAAGCAAGATCAATAAGACCGCAATTTTTGTATTCTAATATATTGCAATATATAAATATTGATCACTGATTGTGTGAATCATATAAGATGACTAAAGTTATGAATATCTCCTATCCTTAATTTTATTGATAAATTTTAGGAGTACATAAAAGACCAACCAGTTGTATTTCAGATAGAAAATGACGACATTGCTATTATGGATCAGTCAAGCAGTTTTCGTCTTTTTTCTTACCATTATGTACCAAATATTAGTAAGAAATTTCTGAAATTCCTAATATTCCTTAATAAAATGTGGTAACACTTTCAATTGTCTGGTTCAAACGAACAATCTGGATAGAAGTGCCTACTGTTAGAATGAAATGGATCTAGAGAAAATCAAAAGCCGTCCACAACAAAAAGTTCAGTAATCAGAAAAATTAATGAAAATATATAATAATAAAATTGTTTCATTTCAGTCAAGCATTATAATTGTCACTTCATTAGCACAGTGCTCACACAAAAAGCCTCGAATTCAGGATCGAAAGGACAAAATTGAAGTAACACTGATGCTTGCATTACTTTCAACTATCAAAAATATTTGAGAATTTCTATAATTTGTAATACTTGAAATTTGACAAGTAATCAAGTAAAAGGCATTTACTTCAAGGTTTCATCTTTTGTTGCTCATGAAATCAACCAACAAAATAAAAATATAGCTTAAATGCTTTTAGAATAGGTTAATTTTTCTGTGTAAGTTATTAGTTTTAAGCAGTGTATCTTTTAGATACAGATGAAATTAGAAAAGTATAATTAATTAAATAGTTCATAAAATTCCTTTTAATGATTTTAATTTATACATGAATTTTTTTATACATTTAATTTATACATATAACAATTCTGAAGGATACTTTTATCTAACCTATTTCATTTTACATTCAGATTCTTTACCAAAAAAAGGAAAAAAGGAAGACTTATCACATTGATTTCAATATTTTCGAACAACGCTTGTTGATTTCATTGAAATTTGAACAGGAAGCATTATGAGTAATCGCATGATCTCTGGTTTTAGATAAAGAAAAAAATGAAAAATGCGCATACTCCAGCATCAGAAGAGAAAATAAGAGATAAACAAGATAAAAGTAACAGTCCAGATGAAAAAAAAAGGGCAGCGCTAGAAGAACAACACACGTCAGCTGTTGAAGATGGTACATGGACTTTAGATTATTAAAGTCCATTTGAAGATCTTTGAGAAGTTGCAATTTTGTCATTTACTGATCTTGAACTGAGCATTATTTGAGAAATCATTACTTTCCTGGAAGGAAAGCCGAAGTAATTTAAAATGAAATCAAAAATGCATTGAGAAAATCAATATTAAAATCCAATATGAAACCCAATATTAGCCTTGATTTTTAAAAAGTAGTTTAGCAAAAATTCCAATTTAGCCGAGAAGGAAAAAGAACGCTTAAAGGAAATGGGGGAAAAACGTATTGAAGAAATAAAACCCAAAATTATGAAACGAAATGCTAAAGAGGTGCGAAATTCAATGCCTTTTTTGAATAAAAATTATGTTTAGCATTCGCAGTTTTTTATTTTGCTGAATTTTTTTTTTCCTTTTTTAACATATTTTTCACTCTTTCAAGAAAATCACTTGAGTGATGCAAAAAACAGCTCATGTTTGAATCTACCCAAAATTGTAAGTATTTAAGTAGATCTTTAAAAAAATGGTTCGAGATATCTGATATCCGACGTTTATCACTCAGTGTTGCAGGAACGAATAGCGAAAGGTAAGGAGACACGTGGCAAAGGTGATTATCCGACTATGGACGATGTACTGAGTGACTGGGATTCTGAAAGAGATGGTAAAAAGAAAAATGAGGTGAATTAGATTTATGTTTGTATGCTAAGTTAGTTACACTGCATTCGTCCACTAAGTTTTATTACCAATGGAAATGTACTTGTAGTAACTTAAGGCTTTGGAAATTGTCGCACACTGAAGCAAAAAAATAGAAAAATAATTCGATGGTCAATAGGATCAGAGAGATAACTTTAATTAGACAAAAGATTTAAATATGATTTAAATATGAGACAAAAGATTTAAATATTTAAATATATAGGATGATGATCAGAAATCAAGAGCCAATACAAATCTCGAAGATGTTGACGACATGAGAAAGGTTCTATTACTAGCTTTTTTGCATTAAACTAAGTAAATCTAACGAAAGTTTAATCAGTACTTCAAAAACCAATGTTAAAAAATAATAGATGAAACTTGATAAGTGAAACTGATAAAAAACATCCTACATGTTTATTTTTGTGCAAAAATGATGACTTCTTAATTGAATCTATAGTTTGTATCACATTAATATAAGAAATGATTTGAGAATGAAGAAAAAAAACCAGCAGAAAATGGTGATGCGGAAGAAAAGAAAAAAGAGGATAAAGGTGGTGAAGTTTGCTGCTTCTAGACAGACCATTACAAAAAAAGCCTTATTGTCAGTAGTGTGCTCTTAACTTTTTTCTGATGATTGAAATTGAATACTTTGAAACGTCACCTGATTGAAGATAAAGTATTATTTGGTTGAAGAATTTTAGTTAATTTTTATTAAACACTGTTTCATTAACTAATTATTTAAGGTGAGAAGAAAGAAATTGATAGCAGAGGGAAAAGCAGTGGTAGAGATACGGGAAAATATGCTACAAAAGGCAGTATAAAAAACGCCAAAGGACCATCTGATAGCATTAAAAAGGTGGATAAAACAGCTGGTAGTCAGGTAAAGAAATTCATTTTTGAAATGATATCTTTAACTCTTCTACACATTTCACGAAATTAGAGACTAATACATTGCAGATTACTTCGTTTTACTTACTGAGTTAATTTCTAATTGGTATTGACAATTAGTAGGCCTTATATTATTAACGTTTTCAGGAGAAATGATATCTCTCTGTTTATTGGATTCGCATTCCCTTATATACTTCCAAGGTTCACCTATTTATTGGCGGAACGATAGATAATGTAAGACAATATCAACTGATTCAATCTGATTTTATTGCATGTTTCCTTATACGATTACAAATTATATGTTCATACTGTGTAATGGAATGAAACAGTCACTTCGTCAAAGTGATATGTCAAATCTTCCTAAAATTAGACAGGATCATATAAACTAAAGACTAACTTTTTTATCTTTTTAATGATCTATCATCCTAAATTATTAACAAAAAATGAGTACACATTGACGGCTAAGCAACTCTTCTGCATTGCATTTCGTTAAGGAACATTTTAATCTTAACACTTTCAAAACATTGAAATCAACAATAAAAGAAATAAAAGTGCAGAAATTCAATCCATCTTCTACAATAAACAGTGATAAGTATGTAGAGCAATGGTAAAATTCATAACAAGCTTTGAACTTCAAACACAAAGTTTAGTAGAGTCAAAACTCGAAGTACATTACCAAGAATCTTAAAAATACCTAAAGATTACTGCAAAAATAAAAGTATATAGTATTTGATTTTTTTTTTTTTTTGGAAAAAGATTTCTATATATTCATGACAAATCAAATTCTGTGTATGTGTATGTTTACATAATGCAATAAGGTCACTTCGTTAGAAAGAAATTTCTGGATCTAAACACAGGGATTTCATTCCATTCACGTCTAAAGAAATCTAGCTAAAATTAAAAAAGAATAGCAAACAATTTTGTTAAGTTTCGGGTGAATTATCAATTTGTCACCGAAGCAAACTGATATAGTTGAAGAAACTCATGAAATCACTAGAGAAAGAAGGAAAACAGATTGAATACAAGCAAAACATACAATGAAGAAAATTAATCATAGCATATCAGTGCACGCAATAAAATTGATAAATACCAAATAGAAAAATAGATTTCCTTCTCTCCTCACCTACGGTGATTCCCTTCCCTAACCAAATTGATGTAAATTTCATTTTTAATATATTCTTTAAGAATAAAAGTAGGTAGTTTATTTATTAATTCTTTTCTTAGAAACACTGTAATATAGAAGATGAAATTAAGATGTGAGACCATTGCATAAGATCAGTAACTTACCTTGGACAGTAATCCTGAAGAAACAGCAAATCCTTTCTTATGTAATATTAGTAGGTCTAATGACTTTTAATGCTTCTCGCACTAGTCTTCAGGACTACTTTCTATAAGAATGAAGGAACATTACCAAAGATCAGTAAAAATTATAACAAGATATAGAAAACTGGCACCCACTGTGGACAGGCGTTAAATTTCTCAACAATATAATTCAGTTATACTCAAATTATAATTCAGTTGTAATCAGATTATAATTCCGTTATACTAAGATTATAATTCTGTCATACTCAGATTATATTTCATTTATACTCAGATTATAATTCTGCTATACTCAGATTATAATTCTGTTACATTCTGATAATAATTCCGTTATACTCAGATTATATTTCCGTTATACTCAGATCATAATTCTATTATACACAGATTATAACTCTGTTATGCTTAGATTATAATTCCGTTATACTCAGATTATATTTCCGTTATACTCAGATCATAATTCTATTATACTCAGATTACAATTCTGTTATGCTTAGATTATAATTCTATTATACTCTGATTATAATTCAGTTATACTCAAATTATAATTCAGTTGTAGTCAGATTATAAATCCGTTATACTGAGATTATATTTCCGTTATACTCAGGTTATATTTCATTTATACTCAAATTATAATTCTGTTATACTCAGATTATAATTCTGTTACACTCAGATTATAATTCCATTATACTCAGATCATAATTCTGCTATGCTCAGACTATAATTCTGCTACACCCAGATTATAATTCCATTATATTCAGATTATAATTCCGCTATACTAAAATTATAATTCAGTTATACTCATATTCAGCTTATAATTCCGTTATACTCAGATTATAATTCAGTGTAGTCAGATTATAATTCCGTTATACTAAGATTATAATTCTGTTATACTCAGATATAGTTCAGTTATACTCAGATTATAATTCAGTTATACTCAAATTATAATTCAGTAGTAGTCAGATTATAATTCCGTTATCCTAAGATTATAATTCTGCCATACTCAGATCATATTTCACTTATACTCAGATCATAATTCCGTTATACTCAGATTATAATTCTGTTACACTCAGATTATAATTCTGCTATACTCAAATTATAATTCAGTTAAACTCATACTCAGATTATAATTCAGTTATGCTCAGAATATAATTCCGTTATACTCATATTATAATTCCGTTATATTCAGATTATAATTCTGTTACACTCAGATTATAATTCTGTTACACTCAGATTATATTTCATTTACACTCAGACTATAATTCTGTTATACTCAGATTATATTTCCGTTATACTCAGATCATAATTCTATTATACACAGATTATAACTCTGTTATGCTTAGATTTTAATTCTATTATACTTTGATTATAACTCAGTTATACTCAAATTATAATTCAGTTGTAGTCAGATTATAATTCCGTTATACTCAGATTATAATTCTGTTATACTCAGATTATAATTCTGTTATAATCAGATTATAATTCTGTTATACTCAAATTATAATTCAGTTATACTCATACTCAGATTATAATTCTGCTATACTCAGATTATAATTCTGTTACATTCTGGTTATAATTCCGTTATACTCAGATTATATTTCCGTTATACTCAGATCATAATTCTATTTTAGGCAGATTATAATTCTGTTATGCTTAGATTATAATACCGTTATACTCAGATTATATTTCCGTTATACTCAGATCATAATTCTATTATACTCAGATTATAATTCTGTTATGCTTAGATTATAATTCTATTATACTCAAATTATAATTCAGTAGTAGTCAGACTATAATTCCGTTATACTCAGATTATATTTCCGTTATACTCAGGTTATATTTCATTTATACTCAAATTATAACTCTGTTATACTCAGATTATAATTCTGTTACACTCAGATTGTAATTCCATTATACTGAGGTTATAATTCTGTTACACTCAGATCATAATTCCACTATACTCAGATTATAATTCCGTTATACTCAGATTATAATTCAGTTATACTCAGATTATAATTCAGACATACTCTGATTATAATTCAGGTATACTAAGATTATAATTCAGTCATACTTATACTCAGATTGTAATTCTGTTAGACTTAGATTATAGTTTTGTTACACCCAGATTATAATTCCATTATACTCAGATTATATTTCCGTTATACTCAGATCATAGTTCAGTTATATTCAGATTATAATTCTGTTACACTCAGATTATATTTCATTTATACTCAGATTATAATTCTGCTATACTCAGATTATAATTCTGTTACATTCTGATTATAATTCCGTTATACTCAGATTATATTTCCGTTATACTCAGATCATAATTCTATTTTAGGCAGATTATAATTCTGTTATGCTTAGATTATAATACCGTTATACTCAGATTATATTTCCGTTATACTCAGATCATAATTCTATTATACTCAGATTATAATTCTGTTATGCTTAGATTATAATTCTATTATACTCTGATTATAATTCAGTTATACTCAAATTATAATTCAGTAGTAGTCAGACTATAATTCCGTTATACTCAGATTATATTTCCGTTATACTCAGGTTATATTTCATTTATACTCAAATTATAACTCTGTTATACTCAGATTATAATTCTGTTACACTCAGATTGTAATTCTGTTAGACTTAGATTATAGGTTTGTTACACCCAGACTATAATTCCATTATACTCAGATTATATTTCCGTTATACTCAGATTATAATTCTGTCACACTCAGATTATATTTCATTTACACTCAGATTATAATTCCGTTATACTCAGATTACAATTCTGTTATGCTCAGACTATAATTCTGTTATGCTCAGATTATAATTCTCTTGCACTCAGATTATAATTTTTTAATTCCATTATATTCAGATTATGATTCTGTTATATTTAGATTATAATTCTGTTATACTCAGATTATAATTCTGCTTATCTCAAATTATAATTCAGTTAAACTCATACTCGGATTATAATTCAGTTATGTTCAGAATATAATTCCGTTATACTCAGATTATAATTCCGTTATACTCAGATTATAATTCTGTCATACTCAGATTATATTTCATTTACACTCAGATTATAATTCTGTTATACTCAGATTATAATTCTGTTACACTCAGATTATAATTCCATTATATTCAGATTATGATTCTGTTATATTTAGATTATAATTCTGTTACACTCAGATTATAATTCCGTTATACTCAGATTATAATTCTGTCATACTCAGATCATAATTCTATTATACACAGATTATAACTCTGTTATGCTCAGATTATAATTCCGTTATACTCAGATTATATTTCCGTTATACTCAGGTTATATTTCATTTGTACTCAAATTATAATTCTGTTATACTC